TTCCTACCTCTTCTCTGGATTGTCCCAAGGACTGCTCTCTGGTTGATTGTGACAACTGGATATTCATTTGGCTGAGTATAACTCTGTATGTCTCTGTTAGTGTTGGTGGTGTTTCATTAAGTCTGTTTCACTTTTACCTGCTCTCCTTTTTCCCAATTCCCCTCCCCGTCTGGTGAGGGGTTGTTGGGTGATAGAGTGACTGTCATAGTTTAGCCCTGGGTACAGGCTAAATGTAGACAACATGCTTTATAGTTTTGTTAAATATTAAATTTATGATGTAGTGTCACTGTCCTCTCTTATTTTTTCCTTTCTTTTTATAAAAGCTACCCATCTTGACAGAAATTAATACATCATGACTTCTTTTTTCTATCTGAAGATAGCGTGCCACTGGTTAAGAGAAGTTACTTTTTCATAGTAAAGCTTATGGACATTAATTACTGAGTTATAAAAAACCACTCATTTACAAGTGTTTGTGTCAAAGACAGCCTAGTGTAGTGCTGAGTAAGAAAGGGGAGTATTGAACTCGGTGCATGAAACTAATTGTGGTTCTGTAAGGCATTGTCTATAAGCAGTTGTATCATCATCATGGAACAATGACAGACCTGACTCCATCACAGCAGCTTCATGCCAGCATGTTGCTACTAGACTTGGAAGGCTTTCTACCTCATTTAAATGATGAAAGCAAGAGCAGATCTCCACCAGTACAGGAAACATGACATACAGATTCCTGAAGCTGAGTGGTTTTACCAGAAGGGATATCTTTAAGCAAATTCCTCCGATGTTTTCAGTTGAGCAAATATCATGTGACAAGTGCTTCTATTTTCCCTTAAGAAGCATTAACACCTTTGTGTTGGGGAACCTTATTTAAATAAAGTTCATAAACGTGAAGCAAATATATCCATTTTATCTGTTACATGTGGTGTGCCATAGTTAGTGAAGCGATCTAAAGGCTAAAGTGCTGTTTTTTCGGTTGTGTTGGAAAGTAATAATGTAATCGACTTACAAGTGGGATGTGTAAGTGATGAGTTAGGCCTGTTATGCTTTTGGGAGAGAATAAGTAAGCATGCATGATAGGTTTTTCAGCTTTATTTTTTATTTGCTGGTCTTGGTTTTGCCTCATTGGCTTGTCAAGAAGGTGCTTGTAGTCTTTTATTCTATATATTAAAAAATTACTGATTATTTCCCCCATTTCTTAAAGAGTTGAATAACATTAATACTGGATAAAACTGCAGCACAACTGGAAATGGAATATCATGTTTAAATTTCCCTTTTAAAATCATTTTGCACTATAAATGACGGATAAAGAATAACAATTCAATATTCTGTATACTTTCTGTCATTGTTAAAACAGATATTGAGAAGAGGTTTTGTACTTTCATAATAAATATGCGTGTTCATATGATCCCATAATAGAGGCACTGGCAATCTTTCTCTGTATAGTCTGAAGTGCATTGGAAATGACACTGCACAAAGTAGGGGGGACTTGTGGTGATATTTCTGTTAATGCAGTTTCATCTATTTCATGCTTTAGCTGCATGTTTCTATTATTGAAACCTTTTAAACATTGCTTTGAAGTTAAAGCAGCCGTTTGTATTGTTATGCCTCAAACAATGCTCAGTTTCTGAAGTTTTGAGACCAAAGATGTCATTTA